AAGTTTTACATTTAAAATCAACAAACAACAAATTTGCTTGCATGTTTCAGTTTCGTTTGCCGTTTGATGTTTCTCACATGCAACAGAAATGCAGTGCTGATGAGTTAAACAATGCAGTGGTCGCGTCAGTGCGACCGCACACAAAATGTAGTCGCACCGGCAGAAAAAATTATCGCAAAATGTGCCCATTTGGTCGCACACTGGAGCCCTGTGCAGTACAGTATTTATTTATCCTTAGTTGTTCAAATAGCGGAAATCGAATGCGGTTATAGTGATAATTAAAATATGAAACAGTAATACTAACCGTGGGGTATTTTATCACAATTTATCGTCAAACCGGTAATCGTTACATCCCTACTTCCAATATTATTTCTGTATTCATAATGTCATCCAATGTTGTATTAATTGTTGAAGTTAAGTGTTTATACTTGCAATAAAAAAAAAAGGTAAAAATAAGTCCTGCCTACGGAAATTCGAATGGTTGGGAGGGGCGAGGTCGTGGTTAGAACGCTTGGTTGAGTGCATCAGACAAGACGATGACGAAGTGCTGCTGTAGCATCAAGTTTTCACAAGTTATTACACATGCACCTGAATAATTTTGTATGTAAATATGTATGTTACAATTGTACAGAACAATACTGGACAATGATGTAATCTGCAGAATTTACACTTCAATTATGAGACTACAGTGTTTCCCATACATTGATTTATTTGTGGCACCAGCCACAATATCAAAACTGACCATCACAAACAGATTTTCCAAAAGGCTTTGACTTTGTTGAATAAACATGAGCACTGCACGTTTCAAAATCGAAACCCGGTGCGGGTGTTTTTATCTTCATATCGACTGTCTTCAGAAAATTTTGGATGTCGTTTTCATTTCTTCTTGCATGTAATGTCTGATAAAGCAGTGTTTGTGAGCTGAGCGCTGCTTTGTGTACAGCCGTTACCAGGGAAACCTCCATGCTACCACTCCAACAGCGCCTCCTGCTGGCTGAGAATGAATTTGCATATATATGCCGCCACAAATAGAGTGCAAGTCTGTGGGAAACACTGGACTATGGTATAAATAAATTCAACTGTATAACAGTTTCACTGCAATTCATGTTATAATGTTAGAATTAAAGAACAATAAACATAATACATATTACCATTGCACTTATCTGTACATAGTAAATGCAGTTATTTTTAAACGGTTGTTTACATCCTATCTAAAACGTGATTTTGCTTACCACTCTAAAATGTCTGGCAATATCCGTGTGTTCAAAGTTTCTGCACAATCCTTTTGTTCAATATTCTCGCAGTCTGAATCCGGTTCAAATTAATATGGCAATATTGACGCCATCCTTAACTATACCGGAGCAGACGGAACTTGCTGCTTTGGGAAGGGGCGGGGCAGTACTGAAACACCATCCAAGCTGTTCGCCAATCACAATGCACAGGGACAGCTAACCAATCACAACACATTTCGTTTTTCGGAAGGCGGGCCTTCATCAAACCCAGAACTAATCGAACCGTTTGTGCCAGGCTGGGGAGAAATGTATTGTAATAATGTAAATTATGTGAAAAATAATGCGCTGCTGAATATGCATTCTGTGTGAATGGCTTGGTTTTGGTTTTAACCTAATCAAGATCTTCTCCGCATTGAGCTTCTATATTTCTCTAATATTTTGAATGCATAACACAGCAGCGGCGCATCTCGTGGGCAAGACTAACAAAACATTAAAATGCAACAACGTCACTTACAACTTTATCACCGCATCTTGTGCGCCACTAATGACGCTCCCTGACCCACTCCCAACATTCAAATGCAAATGTTTATTTTAAATTCGACTAATATTAATTTTTTTTATTCACAATCTCCTCATCACAGGCAGGCACAGCACTCAATTCAGCATGTGTTCGTGTGCTATCTGCGTCATAGCACGTGCCTATATCCTGCACTATATCGAACATTTTTTTATATCGTTATCGAAGGTGTACTGTCGATAAATATCGATACTGTTTTATCGCCCAGGCCTAATCTAGCCTATGTGTTTTCTTCTCTTTTCCCCATCAAAAGGATAGAGTTTAGAAATATTCTGGCTGGTCTTGATTGTTTCATGATTTTATGCATACCACCTTAGTGTCCAGTGTCCTTGAGTGCAGGTATATGTTTCAGTGTGAAAGAGAGAAAAAAGAAAGAAGAACAGAGTGTGAGGGATGCACATTTTACCTGGTCTCTTGTTTCTCTCTTCTGGCCCTGGAGGTTTGTAATGTTGTGAAATATTTATGGGATAAACGTTGTCCTACAGGCAATTCTCTTTTTCCTTCCAGAATCTCTGGATTCTAAGAACTCATCTTTCTGGTGGGATTAGCACCAAGGATTGCTTAGCCTGAAGGAAGGCAGGAGGGATTTAATTTAATCTGTATTTTGGTTTAAGTTTGAATTAATCTTAGTTTATCTGCATGTGTTAACTATTTCTTCCTGTGCTTAGTTGAATTGTTTTTTGCTTTTTCCCTTGACGGGAAAAAAAGTTTATTGCCTTGTAATATTTTGTTCTGACGTATCATTTAAGCAGACCTTAAAGGCAAAAGTCGTACATGCATGTCCAGAATTAACCTTTTGTCATATCTGCCAAAGATGAGTGAATTAAGAAAATTTCCTGACCATAAATATGTAATTGATTTGTATTTTGCATTGTTTGATTAATATAATTAATCAAAAAAAATAAGTAGTCACAGCCTAATCTAATATCAGGTGAGCCAGTCTCCGTCTCTGTAAAATTTTTCTGGTGACAAATGCGCCGACACACATCATGGTTTTTTCTTCCTAATATTTTCCTTCTGGTGGCTTAATGCTTGTAAAATATCATATGAATTGCTACATAGAGTTAGATTTAAAAAGATAAAATACTCTTGCTGAATTTAGTAGTTTTAGCTGTACATCTTGCATCACTTGTATTAGTGAGGGCCAGAATGTTATTCGTTATATATCATATACCGATTTAAATAATAAATTATGTCAGTTCCTCATAAAGTTACTGACCAGCTGGCAAAAAAGCAATTTATTCAGCAAAGCTTTTTGTTATTTCCATTTGGCACTTGGCACTTGTTAATTTTGGCCCATGTTCTGATGTTATTGTGGTAAATGTTCAGAATTCTAAATGCATGCAGATTGCAGGACAGCTACTGGGCCCAATCTGTGCCGCACCAGGTTAGACTAACCTCATCTGCTTACAGTTTGTTACTGAGGTAACATTTCTACCACTGGTACTATTTTAAATCTGCGTTCAGCAATATTTGAAGGTGTGGTTTCTAAAGTGTTTGTCACAATTGTATTTGATTGAATGTTATGTTTTGAAACACTTTACCAGTATAAAAACCTCAATAGCAGATGTGATCAATGTCCTGTCCTCCACCTTTCCTTGGTAACATTTTTTGAGACCTCTAATAAAGCTTGTTTGTCGTCATCTCACTTTTCTTCTTCTCTGATTTCCAGGGCAGCTGTTGAGTTTCCAGCTGTGACCATGAGCACCATCTCACCGACTGATTTTGATAGCGTTGAGATCCAGCAGCAGTACAATGACATCAACAACCGCTGGGACATCGCAGCTGAAACAGAGTGGGATAATGAGAACAGTTCTGCACGTCTGTTTGAGCGTTCACGCATTAAAGCTCTCGCAGGTCAGTTTCATTTTTTTATACTAGTGTGTGTGAGTGGAGGTTTGGTTTGTGCACCAGTGTGCTTCCTGTATGTGTTGATCTGTGTGTGTGTGTTTGTTTGCATGCTTGCTTGCTTGCTTGATCATACAATGCAACCTGTTGAAAACGAGCTGATAGTGTCCAGTAGGGGGTGGCATAAGGCAGAGTGTGAAAAAAATAATCACTTGAACCACCTTAAGACAAGCACCCTCCACATGCTCTTGCAGTGGTCTTGGAGAACTGTATGCGTGATAATATAGTTATAATAATAAAGAGGCGTCAAGTATGGTTTTTGAGTATGGAACCTGGTTTTACATTGTTTAAAAGACATTCTATTTATAAATGTCAGTGCATAACACAGCAGTTGATGTGTGTGTTAAAGTGTGGTGAGATACCATCTTCTGACAAGCAGTGACTTGATATCCACATTTTCCAGTGCTGTTATTCACCTTGTGACACTCTCTCACTCTCTCTCATCTCCAGGGCTTTTCTAATGTTAAATTTATGACCCGCTGTATCTCTTTTTTTGTTTCTCTTTCTGCTGCCATTGGGTGTTTTAAAGCCAGTTGTTGTCATGTTTTTTCACACGTTTGTTAGGCATATCATAATTTGAAGCACATGATGAATCAATTTATGCTTTTAAAAGTTGCGTTTAAAACAGCAGATTTGAATGTCACTGGGTACTGGAGAAATCAAGATTCACCAAATGTCTGCATGCAACAATAAATCAAAATGACAAAATTAGGGATGCTCCGATCAATCGGCAGGAGATTGGTATCGGCCGATAATCACATTTTATGACTCGATCGGTACTCACTAACTTGGCCGATCACAATTTGATGACGTCAATGCATGACGACGTACATGATGCGTGGGACATAAATGATTTGGCGCCACAGTCATGTCATCGCTGGTGTGGAAATGCTATGACGTTTCGAGAAACAATGAAAAATTCACTATTTGTCATGTATGTTTTGCATGATGATATGACGAATAGATGGTTAATTTTTAACTGCAGATTCAGTGACGTTAGAGCTGATCTGTGCCTCACTGCACACGTCTGGGGCGCGTTAAGGCTCCACGGGAACCGGAGCTGATCGCGGCCGCTCTAATGCTTGTGTTTCTGAAGCGGCTCTCCGCGCTGCTTGGCTAAAAATAGTCTTTTGTGAGTTGTCACAGCGTGGAGGATGGAACAAAACCTCGTCGGAGTCGTAAGGGGTAACGGTAACATAACACGCTGATGGGCTGCTTTTAAATGGACATTTATTTATAAAACAAAAGATCATCTTTGGCCATATTAGCCTACTCAATAGCATTAACACAGGCTTTACTCCTTTCAAACTTTATCTGGAATGTCACCGTTTCTGTCACTGCAACTTCCCGATCAGGCGAGCGAACGAACACACACGAAATCGTCTGCCTCGTGAAAAATATGTATTTTTAAAAAATTTAGTTAATATTTACTTCATTTATGATTTATTTTATCCACCCGTGACCCACCCACAAATAATCAGAATGCATTTTTTTTTATTACCCGACCCGCGGATTATCCGCAGTGCCAGTGGATATAGGAAAAGGAAAATATGTTTGCAGTGTAAATTAGACAAGAGGTCCTCGCTGCAGCCTGTAGCACGATGACGTAGCTGGATCAGATCCAATACGTATTGGATGTTTGACGAGCATGCGCAGTATTGGATCTTCATGTGCAAAGTGGGGCTGTCATTGAAGCTAGTATTTCATGTAAATTAAACTGTTATTACGAGATATAGGTGTGTTTCATAGGCTTACACAAATTATATTATACTGTGATTTTAAACTAGTGGTGTATTCAAACTTTATTTAAGCAATGATGGCGTAGTTTTGAATGAAAGCGTTTGGTATGTAAGCTGTTTATTTTTTTATTAGTTTGATTCGTTTTAGAAATAAAACTCTACTAATTACAATTTAGTTTGTTCTTTATGAAAAAAATGGGGTGTAACTATTGTCTTTGTTTCCTCTGATAGTCTAGTCAACATAGTTAGATAGTTCTGTCAAAAAGTCGTTCATGAATCAAATATTATTTTTTGTTCTCACTCTCTGTGCTATATGTGACAGAGTATAAAAGTTATAGGCCTACTAAAATATGCGGACATAATTTTTATACCATATAAAAATAAAAAGAAGAAAAACAATCCTGTCAGTCGGGGTTCTGTTCCGTATAGCCGATAAACCGTTATCCCGGGTTATACTGGGTTTTTACAATTAATCTCATGTCCAGCAAATAAATACACACACGGTCGGGGACAAGGCATATTAACTCAAAGATGACCTTTTTTTTGTGTGTGTTATATGCAAGTGAAATCCCTGGAGATAGATAGACCAATTATAAATGGCTAAAGACATAAACCATCCATTCCGTTACGAGAGCGTGCACTCTCTTTCTCTCTCTCTCTCTCTCTCTCTCTCTCTCGCTCTCTCTTTTTGAGTGTTGTATCAGACGATAGTATGAAAAGCAACTAATAAAACATTTCTTTGACCTGACTGAGGTGTTATTAGCAAGGTCTTAATATAAAGTCTTAATATAAATTTAATGGTTGTTTTTTTATTTTATTATTATTATTGAAAATGTTTGTAATAGCTATATTAGAATAATATAAAATCTAAATAAACAAAATGGATCCGCATTAATCTAATATCCCCAATTAAATTTAAATAAACATGACTGATACAGAGTGATGTATATCTTAATAATTAGCTATTTACAGTGCAACGTCTGCATATCAATCATGTTACAGTGCTTGTTGTATCCTTATAATAATGGATACAGCACTGATGTGCATCCTGGCGATAACATATGAAATGCAGGCTATTCAAAAATTAAATAAATAAATAAAGCTTTGAAGTTGCCAGCATAGACGAAAACATTGCAGATGAATTTAGATATTAAAGTTTTTACATTGTAATGTAATGTAGGTCATCGTGTAGATATGTAATGTAGGTCAAAAACCCTTGCTACATGTACTGCGTTAGACTTCACTTAGACCAAGTCGTTAGACTAAGTCGCTGTGGATAAAAGCGTCTGCAAAATGATCAAATGTAAATAAAAATATGAATTTATTTGCGACCTACTACAGCGCATGCGCGTAAAATATCCACTACGTAGTATATATAGTCCAGCTACGTCATTGTGCTGCAGGCTGCAGTGAAGACAGACTCAAATCAGACGGACTTACTGAAAATGCAAATTCATTCTCTGCCAGCAGGAGGTGCTTTAAAGCGGGAGAAACAGAGGTTTCCCCAGTAACGGCTGTACACAAAGCAGCGCTGAGCTCACAAACGCTGCTTTATCAGGCATATAACATGCAAGATGAAATGCAAATGACATCGAAAATTTTCTAAAGATAGTCTTCCTTTAGAAATACAGCGATATAAAAACACCCGTGCCTCGTTTTGATTTTTAAACGTGCAGTATGTGTTCATGTTTATTCAACAAAGCCTTTTGGAAAATCGGTCAGTTTTGATATTGTGGCGAGCGCCACAAATAAATAAATGTATGGGAAACACATCCCACAGCACACCCACCTGAGCCCAACTTCAGTCTACTCATCACCTTAACTTTAACTGCGTTTGTAACCGGCGCCATAGCCACACTCTTAAAAATAAAGGTGCTTCACGATGCCATAGAAGAACCTTTTTGTCTAAATGGTTCCATAAAGAACCTTTAGCATCTGAAGAACCTTTCTGTTTCACAAAAGGTTTTTGTGGTGAAAAAAGGTTCTTCAGATTACAAAAAGGTAAGAAAGAGATGGTTCTTTAAAGAACCTTTGACTGAATGGTTCTTTGTGGAACCAAAAATGGTTCTTCTATGGCATCGCTGTGAAGAACCTTTTGAAGCACCTTTATTTTTAAGAGTGCATTTTTTGAGTGTTGTATCAGACGATAGTATGAAAAGCAACTAATGAAACATTTCTTTGACCTGACTGAGACGTTATTAGCGAGGTGAAGTCTTAATATAAATTTAATGGTTGTTTTTTTATTATTTTATTATTGAAAATGTTTGTAATAGCTATATAAGAATGATATAAAATCTAAATAAACAAAATGGATCGGCATTAATCTAATATCCCCAATTAAATTTAAATAAACATGACTGATACAGAGTGATGTATATCTTAATAATTAGCTATTTACAGTGCAACGTCTGCATATCAATCATGTTACAGTGCTTGTTGTATCCTTATAATAATGGATACAGCACTGATGTGCATCCTGGCGATAACATATGAAATGCAGGCTATTCAAAAATTAAATAAATAAATAAAGCTTTGAAGTTGCCAGCATAGACGAAAACATTGCAGATGAATTTAGATATTAAAGTTTTTACATTGTAATGTAATGTAGGTCATCGTGTAGATATGTAATGTAGGTCAAAAACCCTTGCTACATGTACTGCGTTAGACTTCACTTAGACCAAGTCGTTAGACTAAGTCGCTGTGGATAAAAGCGTCTGCAAAATGATCAAATGTAAATAAAAATATGAATTTATTTGCGACCTACTACAGCGCATGCGCGTAAAATATCCACTACGTAGTATATATAGTCCAGCTACGTCATTGTGCTGCAGGCTGCAGTGAAGACAGACTCAAATCAGACGGACTTACTGAAAATGCAAATTCATTCTCTGCCAGCAGGAGGTGCTTTAAAGCGGGAGAAACAGAGGTTTCCCCAGTAACGGCTGTACACAAAGCAGCGCTGAGCTCACAAACGCTGCTTTATCAGGCATATAACATGCAAGATGAAATGCAAATGACATCGAAAATTTTCTAAAGATAGTCTTCCTTTAGAAATACAGCGATATAAAAACACCCGTGCCTCGTTTTGATTTTTAAACGTGCAGTATTGGTTCTTCTATGGCATCGCTGTGAAGAACCTTTTGAAGCACCTTTATTTTTAAGAGTGCAGACTGATAATCAAACACAGACCGGAAGTTAACTTCGGGCCAA